ATAGATCACCTCGACATGGCAGAAGCGTTAGCAGGCTTGTCTCAGTAAAACAATTACAACTGAATTAAGTTCGATCTTCACTTGATGTCCCATGTTGTCGGCTTTGTGCCATATCTGTGCTAAGCTTAGAAAATCACCAAAGATAGATAATAGATAGATAGATAGATAGATAGATAGATAGATAGATATGAACAGTCATTTAATTACCTCGACATGGCATTTAGCAGGCTTGTCTCCGGTAAAACAATTACAACTGAATAGTAAGTTCGATCTTCAAACCCATGTTGTCGGCTTTGTGCCAATCCTAGATAGATGTGATATGAACAGTCATAGATTCACGGACATGGCATTAGCAGGCTTGTCTCGGTAAAACAATTACAACTGAATAGTTCGATTTCACTGTCGGAAAATCACCAAAGATAGATTAGATAGATAGATAGATAGATAGATAGATAGATAGATAGATAGATAGATAGATATGAACAGTCATAGATATATATATAAAACAATTACAACTGAATACAATTGATGTCCCATGTTGTCGGCTTTGTGCCATATCTGTTAAGGCACCAAAGATAGATAGATAGAATAGATAGATGATAGATAGATATAGATATGAACAGTCATTAGATAGATCACCTCGACATGGCAGAAGCGTTAGCAGGCTTGTCTCGGTAAAACAATTACAACTGAATAGTAAGTTCGATCTTCACTTGATGTCCCATGTTGTCGGCTTTTTCTGTGCTAAAAAAATCACCAAAGATAGATAGATAGATAGATAGATAGATAGATAGATAGATAGATAGATAGATAGATATAACAGTCATAGATAGATAGATCACCTCGACATGGCAGAAGTTTGAATAGTAAGTTCGATCTTCACTTGATGTCCCATGGCCATATCTGTGCTAAGCTTAGAAAATCACCAAAGATAGATAGATAGATAGATAGATAGATAGATAGATAGATAGATAGATATGAACAGTCATAGATAGATAGATCACCTCGACATGGCAGAAGCGTTAGCAGGCTTGTCTCGGTAAAACAATTACAACTGAATAGTAAGTTCGATCTTCACTTGATGTCCCATGTTGTCGGCTTTGTGCCATATCTGTGCTAAGTTTATTAGATAATAGATAGATAGATAGATAATAGATAGATATGAACAGTCATAGATAGATAGATCCTCGACATAAAGGTTAGCAGGCTTGTCTCGGTAAAATTAAGAAATAGTAAGTTTTTCACTTGATAAATAGCTTGAAAATCCCAAAATAAGGTTTGTAGATCACCTCGACATGGCAGAAGCGTTAGCAGGTTTGTTAAAACAATTACAACTGAATAGTGTTCGATGTTGTCGATATACCAAAGATAGATATATATAGATAGATATATATATAACATATAGATAGATAGATATATATATTGTCTCAGTAAAACAATTATAACTGAATAGTAAGTTCGATCTTCACATTTGTCGGCTTTTTGCCATATACGAAGATAGATAGATAGATAATAGATAGATAGATAGATAGATAGATAGATAGATAGATAGATATGAACAGTCATAGAATGGATAGATCACCTCGACATGGCAAAGCGTTAGCAGGCTTGTCTCGGTAAAACAATTACAACTGAATAGTAAGTTCGATCTTCACTTGATGTCCCATGTTGTCGGCTTTGTGCCATATCTGTGCTAAGCTTAGAAAATCACCAAAGATAGATAGATAGATAGATAGATAGATAGATAGATAGATAGATAGATAGATAGATATGAACAGTCATAGATAGATAGATCACCTCGACATGGCAGAAGCGTTAGCAGGCTTGTCTCGGTAAAACAATTACAACTGAATAGTAAGTTCGATCTTCATTGATGTCCCAAAAACCATATCTGTGCTAAAGGGAAAATCACCAAAGAATAGATAGATATAGATAGATAGATAGATATAGATAGATATTTTCATTCATAGATCACCTCGACATGGCAGTTAGCAGGCTTGTCTCGGTAAAACAATTACAACTGAATAGTTTCGATCTTCACTTGATGTCCCATGTTGTCGGCTTTTGTGCCATATCTGTGCTAAAGAAAATCACCAAAGATAGATAGATAGATAGATAGATAGATAGATAGATAGATAGATAGATAGATAGATATATGAACAGTCATAGATTTCACCTCGATGGCAGAAGCAGGCTTGTCTCGGTAAAACAATTACAACTGAATAGTAAGTTCGATCTTCACTTGATGTCCCATGTTGTCGGCTTTGTGCCATATCTGTAAAAAAATCACCAAAGATAGATAGATAGATAGATAGATAGATAGATAGATAGATAGATAGATATGAACAGTCATAGATAGATAGATCACCTCGACATGGCAGAAGCGTTACAGGCTTTCTCGGTAAAACAATTATACTGAATAGTATTCGATCTTCACTTGATATCCCATGTTGTCGGCTTTTCACGCCATATCTGTGCTAAGCTTAGAAAATCACCAAAGATAGATAGATAGATAGATAGATAGATAGATAGATAGATATGAACAGTCATAGATAGATAGATCACCTCGACATGGCAGAAGCGTTAGCAGGCTTGTCTCGGTAAAACAATTACAACTGAATAGTAAGTTCGATCTTTTATCCCATGTTGTTTGCTTTTGTGCCATATCTGTGCTCCACCAAAGATAGATAGATAGATAGATAGATAGATAGATAGATAGATAGATAATATGAACAGTCATAGATAGATAGATCACCTCGACATGGCAGAAGCGTTAGCAGGCTTGTCTCGGTAAAACAATTACAACTGAATAGTAAGTTCGATCTTCTTGATGTCCCATGTTGTCGGCTTTGTGCCATATCTGTGCTAAGTTTCACCAAAGATAGATAGATAGATAGATAGATAGATAGATAGATAGATAGATAGATATGAACAGTCATAGATAGATAGATCACCTCGACATGGCAGAAGCGTTAGCAGGCTTGTCTCGGCAATTACAACTGAATAGTAAGTTCGATCTTCACTTGATGTCCCATGTTGTCTTTCCATATCTGTCTAAGCTTAGAAAATCACCAAAGATAGATAGATAGATAGATAGATAGATAGATAGATAGATAGATAGATAGATATGAACATCATAGATAGATAGATCAATTGGCAAACATGTTTACAACTGAATAGTAAGTTCATCTTCACTTGATGTCCCATGTTGTCGGTGCTTTTGCCATATCTGTGTAAGCTTAGAAAATCACCAAAGATAGATAGATAGATAGATAGATAGATAGATAGATAGATAGATAGATAGATAGATAGATGATATGAACAGTCATAGATAGATTGTCTCGACATGGCAGAAGCGTTGCCTTGTCTCGGTAAAAACAATTACAACTGAATAGTAAGTTCGATCTTCACTTGATGTCCCATGTTGTCGGCTTTGTGCCATATCTGTGATAAGTAAGATAGATAGATAGATAGATAGATAGATAGATAGATAGATAGATAGATAGATAGATATGAACAGTCATAGATAGATAGATCACCTCGACATGGCAGAAGCGTTAGGCAGGCTTGTCTCGGTAAAAACAATTACTGAATAGTAAGTTCGATCTTCATGAAGATGTCCCATGTTGTCGGCTTTTGTGCCATATCTGTGCTAAGCTTAGAAAATCACCAAAGATAGATAGATAGATAGATAGATAGATAGATAGATAGATAGATATGAACAGTCATAGATAGATAGATTACCTCGACATGGCAGAAGCGTTAGCTTGTCTCGGTAAAACAATTACAACTGAATAGTGTTCGATCTTCACTTGATGTCCCATGTTGTCGGCTTTGTGCCATATCTGTGCTAAGCTTAGAAAATCACCAAAGATAGATAGATAGATAGATAGATAGATAGATAGATAGATAGATAGATAGATAGATATGAACAGTCATAGATAGATAGATCACCTCGACATGGCAGAAGCGTTAGCATTGCAATTACAACTGAATAGTAAGTTCGATCTTCACTTGATGTCCCATACGGCTTTGTGCCATATCTGTGCTAAGCTTAGAAAATCACCAAAGATAGATAGATAGATAGATAGATAGATAGATAGATAGATAGATAGATATGAACAGTCATAGATAGATAGATCACCTCGACATGGCATACATACAGGCTTGTCTCGGTAAAACAATTACAACATAATAGTAAGTTCGATCTTCACTTGATGTCCCATGTTGTCGGCTGTGCCATATCTGTGCTAAGCTTAGAAAATCACCAAAGATAGATAGATAGATAGATAGATAGATAGATAGATAGATAGATAGATAGATATGAACAGATAGATAGATAGATAGACATGGCAGAAGCGTTAGCAGGCTTGTCTCGGTAAAACAATTACAACTGAATAGTAAGTTCGATCTTCACTTGATGTCCCATGTTGTCGGCTTTGTGCCATATCTGTGCTAATTAGAAAATCACCAAAGATAGATAGATAGATAGATAGATAGATAGATAGATAGATAGATAGATAGAGAACAGTCATAGATAGATAGATCAACATGGCAGAAGCTATTTTTTTAAAACAATTACAACTGAATAAAGTTCATCTTCACTTGATGTCCCATGTTGTCGGCTTTGTGCCATATCTGTGCTAAGCTTAGAAAATCACCAAAGATAGATAGATAGATAGATAGATAGATAGATAGATAGATAGATAGATAGATATGAACAGTCATAGATAGATAGATCACCTCGACATGGCAGAAGCGTTAGCAGGCTTGTCTCGGTAAAACAATTACAACTGAATAGTAAGTTCGATCTTCACTTGATGTCCCATGTTGTCGGCTTTGTGCCATATCTGTGCTAAGCTTAGAAAATCACCAAAGATAGATAGATAGATAGATAGATAGATAGATAGATAGATAGATAGATATGAACAGTCATAGATAGATAGATCACCTCGACATGTTAGCAGGCTTGTCTCGGTAAAACAATTACAACTGAATAGTAAGTTCGATCTTCACTTGATGTCCCCATGTTGTCGGCTTTGTGCCATATCTGTGCTAAGCTTAGAAAATCACCAAAAGATAGATAGATATGAATAGATAGATAGATAGATAGATAGATAGATAGATAGATAGATATGAACAGTCATAGATAGATAGATCACCTCGACATGGCAGAAGCTTAGCAGGCTTTCTGCAATTACAACTGAATAGTAAGTTGATCAATGTCCCATGTTGTCGTTTTGTGCCATCTGTGCTAAGCTTAGAAAATCACCAAAGATAGATTAGATAGATAGATAGATAGATAGATAGATAGATAGATAGATAGATATGAACAGTCATAATAGATAGATCCACATGGCAGAAGCGTTAGCATTCTGTAAAACAATTAATAATAGTCATCTTCACTTGATGTCCCATGTTGTCAATCTGTGCTAAGTCACCAAAGATAGTTTAGATAGATAGATAGATAGATAGATAGATTCAATAGATAGATAGATTACCTCCATGGCAGAAGCTTAGCCTTGTCTCGGAAAACAATTACAACTGAATAGTAAGTTCGATCTTCAAGTTGTCGGCTTTTGTGCCATATCTGTGCTAAGCTTAGAAAATCACCAAAGATAGATAGATAGATAGATGATAGATAGATATAGATAAATAGATAATAGATATGAACAGTCATAGATAGATAGATCACCTCGACATGGCAGAAGCGTTTGCCTCAACTGAATAGTAAGTTCGATCTTCAATGTCCCATGTTGTCGGCTTTGTGCCATATCTGTGCTAAGCTTCTACCAAAGATAGATAGATAGATAGATAGATAGATAGATAGATAGATAGATAGATAGATAGATAGATATGAACAGTCATAGATAGATAGATCAATCGACATGGCAGAAGCGTTAGCAGGCTTGTCTCGGTAAAACAATTACTGAATAAAGTTCGATCTTCACTTGATGTCCCATGTTGTCGGCTTTGTGCCATATCTGTGCTAAGCAGAAAATCACCAAAGATAGATAGATAGATAGATAGATAGATAGATAGATAGATATGATATGAACAGTCATAGATAGATAGATCACCTCGACATGGCAGAAGCGTTAGCAGGCTTGTCTCGGTAAAACAATTACAACTGAATAGTAAGTTCGATCTTCACTTGATGTCCCATGTTGTCGGCTTTGTGCCATATCTGTGCTAAGCTTAGAAAATCACCAAAGATAGATAGATAGATAGATAGATAGATAGATAGATAGATAGATAGATAGATAGATAGATATGAACAGTCATAGATAGATAGATCACCTCGACATGGCAGAAGCGTTAGCAGGCTTGTCTCGGTAAAACAATTACAACTGAATAGTAAGTTCGATCTTCACTTGATGTCCCATGTTGTCGGCTTTTGTGCCATATCTGTGCTAAGCCGCCAAAGATAGATAGATAGATAGATAGATAGATAGATAGATAGATAGATAGATATGAACAGTCATAGATAGATAGATCACCTCGACATGGCAGAAGCGTTAGCAGGCTTGTCTCGGTAAAACAATTACAACTGAATAGTAAGTTCGATCTTCACTTGATGTCCCATGTTGTTTCCTTTGTGCCATATCTGTGCTAAGCGAAAATCACCAAAGATATATATATAGATAGATAGATAGATAGATAGATAGATAGATTTCTGTAAATATTATACTAAGTTTAGCATGGCACAGGTCCGCCCTCTTAAAACACCAAGTGACGTCCGCATTCACTCCACTAACGATGGTCGGCTGGATTTAATTGCTTTGCATATATTTGCATAAAACGTCTACTTCAGAGCAATTGTTAACAAAATGCTCCCAAATCTAATGAATGTGATTCCCACCGAGTGTCCCATAACTCTGGTCTCGAATCTGTCCCACTTTAATACTTTCCTTCCTCAGATCATTAATCAATTTTTATGTTTTTCTTCTTTCTGACGAGTTTGTCATTTTTGCCGTCCATACTTACATACACACACGCGCGCGCGCGCGCGCCATTTGATAACTCCCAACAGATAAAAACAACAAAAATGGAAACTGCACTTAACTAAAAACGAAACATTTAGCGACATCGTCTATTTTTTAGTACTGTTCACTTATTGCTTATCGGTTTCCACTGAGTGCAAGTACTCACTGCCTGATCCAGGGATTGAACCCACAACTACTATATCACCAAATTCTCAAATCAACCTGTTTATTTACTTGGCCAATGTCTCGTAAATATCCCTAGACATGGGCATTTGAAAAAGAACAGTCTACACCAGTAGATTAAATAAAGGTTTCATTTCAGGTTACATCTGTAGATTATCAGATCGATATGCACCTGAAAAAGGCCGGAGGGAAAAACGGTCGAAACGTTGTGAAAACAACAAAGATGATGACTATAGTCTAAATATAGATAGTTCAAATAACGATAACTCCTGACCTCAGAAATTAAAACAGAAATTACGACCAGCATTTTCATTATTTGTTTATTTGTAAATAATCTCAATATAATTTCTAAAAATAAGAAATGATCTGATATTGAACCTACATGACACGTTTGGAAGAGCGTTTCATTGAATGGAAAAAAAAAGAAAAAAGAAAGAAGTAAGTTTCAAGAACTGAAATTGGGTTAAAAACAAAAAGCTTGGAAGGAAACTCCCTTTCAATGCTAGAAAAGGTAAAAAAAACATTTAATGAACTTGAATTTTGTGAAAAACTGTCTTAATAGAAAGATTTTATAAATGTTAATCTCACCATTAGTCTAGAAGTCATTTTTCTTTTAATCCGTATCACCGCAAGCAAGGCAATAAAGCCACTAAGACACAAGCGGTTACTTGGTGTAGAAGAATTAAGAACAGAAACATTTAAAAAGTTTAATTCCCTAAAAATGTTTTTAGAAAACTTTTTATAAATGTCAACCGACAGTGATACTGTTTGGTCAATGTATGCCGAATGATTTCTGGATAGAAACAGTTCATTTTACTATCAGCGTTTCCATCATTTATTTATTTGTAAACTAACCGAGATATCCGGCGTTGCCCGGTTGTAAATGGCTGCAATTGTATAACCGCAACCCCCTGTATACCCGCATCCCCCTGTCTAGAAATGTCTGCCCGTGTCCCCGTTTGCGCGCATCATCCGTTGGTATAGTAAGCGACTCTCCCTCATCTTTTTTTACGGTACGTCCTTCGCAAGTGTTTGATTGTTCTTAATAAAGGAACTCCATCAATAAAACCTTTTTGTGTGGTCGTTGCTCGTGTTTAAATTATTTCAATGTTTTAGATATTCAGTAAATTTCCTATGGCCGTAATAATTTTCAAATAGTATCGCATTGTTCACAAACCTAATAATCAAACAAAAACAGGGATGAAGTATCAGAGCTTGATTTAACTCTAAGTGCAAACGCATGAACGACCCCGCCTCCTCCTTTGCATGTTTACTGTAAAGCTGGGGTTAATGAGAGGTTTTTCGGGAATTTTTCCCTTTTAATGCTTCAATAATCTTCTCAAACAATCTTTGCATTAAAGAAGTGGGCACAAGTGGTGATCAAAAACCATAACAGAAAAATGAATGAGCGCGTGACGCGGACATAATGATCGTTTTCGTCTGACTTTGCATATCCATTAAGTTTATTTGCAAACAATAATTTAATGACCGGTTCCAAAAAAAAGCGCGAATTATACAAGCAAAGGGAAGCAACTTCCGCTTCCTAAAATTCTTCTTCTTTATGTGCTTGTATCCCTTCAGAACTTTGGCGATCATGGCTCTCCAAAAGTTCCTGTCCCTTGCAGCTCTTAATAAATTTTCTTTTTGTTACTTATCCTAAACCCTGTTCCGCCATCCATTTACTCAAGATTACTAAGTTGATTATGCATTGCTTTCCTCTGTCTCTCTTGCCTGTAATCTGTCTTGTGAGTATCAGATTCTCCAAACCCTCTCTCCTCATTATGTTCGCTAAAAAACTGTCTCTTCTTAATGTTAAGTATGTTTCCGTTTTGTCTTCATTTTCTCGTTGCTCACATGTTCGTTCCATGGTATTCTCAATATCCTTCTGTAGAACCACATTTCTGTTGCTTCAAGTCTCTGAGGAGGTCGTCCAGTACTCACTGCCAACAGGAGGACAGATATCACGTAGCAATTTAGTACTCTTTTCCTTGTTTCTAGCGAAGTTTTTCTCTCTCTTAATACTCTGCTTAGCTTTTGAAATGCATCTTTGGCTATTCCAATTTGTCCTCGGATCTCAATGTCACACTTTCTGTCCTCTTTTAAAATACTTCCTCGGGTATTTGAATTTCCGCACTTGTTTCATTTTCGTATCTCTGATTTGCAATTTGTATTTTGGTCTCAACCATGTATTCTATCTTCTTACAGTTGATGTTTAATCCTTTCTTCTCACTTTCCTTCATTACCTTCTGTAGGAGGTGTTGTACAGAATTTCCTATATATATATATATATATATATATATATATATATATATATATCCTAGATTTCTTTAAAGCTAATCTTTTTTCTTCATCAACAACATGTTTTTGGGGGGGAAATTATTGTTAATACATGTTTGATTTATTCTTCATATGTCCGTGTCCTTTCAGGACGTGGGCGATCATGGCTCTCCAAAATTTCCTGTCCTTTTTAGCTCTTAATAAATTTTGTATTTTCATTATTTCTACAAAATCCTGTTTCGCCATCCATTTATTTAAGCTCATCAAGTGTTATGCGCTATTATTCTCTGCCCCTCTTTCCGTTAATCTGTCCTGTGAGTATCGGATTTTCCAAGCCCTCTTTCCTCATTATGTGTCCTAGAAATCTCAACTTTTTCTTCCTGATGTTAAATATAAGTTTTCCTTTTTTGTTTCCATTTTTTTCTAAAACCTCGTCGTTGCTCACATATTCGTTTCATAGTATCCTCAGCATCGTTTTTTGGTTTTTCTGTCTCTTAATACTCTGCTTAGCTTTTGGAATGCATCTTTGGCCAACCCAATGCGAACTTGGATTTCGATGTTGCATTTTCCGTCCTCTATTAAAACACTTCCACAAATATTTAAATTATTGTACTCGTTTGGTTTTAGTATCTCCGATTTGTAATTTACATTTTGGTCTAATCTTTTTGCTAACAACCATACATTCCGTCTTCTTGTAGTTGATATTTAATCCTTTCTTCTCTCTTTCCTAACACTATTTTTACTAAACAGTATTAACATAACGTTTCGTTTAAACACTCTCTGGTCATCTTCAGGTGTTCTTTATTTTTACTCTTAGAGGATATCTTTTATTATTCGTTTATTGTGGAGGCACTGTGGAATAATGGATAGCGATTCGGATTGAGGAATCGGAGAGCCGAGTTTGAATTACAGTCGAATACACTGGGAAAAGGTAAGAATCCTCCTCTTCTGGGTAAAACAGAAGGACAGCCTTGGATGGCAACTGGTCTAGGAGAAGGACAACTCTGAATTCAAAACCTGCAGAGTGTCATTTGTGGCACGTAATGCACCAGGTCTATGTATTGTGCCCTTCAAAAAGTGTGGTTGGTTCTGCACAAAGCCTTCAACACTATAATCAAATCACATGTGCTGGTATCTGGCTGTCGTTTTCTAGGAGCTGAGTTGCATACGTCGAAACAAAACGACGGAAGAGTTTTGTGTAAGACGTGAATATAGGTCTTGATTAAGCAAACATTGCTTGCCACTGGTAGTCGTAAGAGGAATCCATATACTCTGTTTCAGCGGGAATGACCAAGAAACTACAATCCGGGGACAAGAATAACTCAATAATATACACATATTATCAATCCCAAAAATAATGAACATCTGAAGATGGCCAGAAGGTATATGGTTGAAACGCTGCATGACAATAACAGTTCGAATAAATCGATTAAAAATCAAACGTACGTAGCGTGACGTGTTTTGTTCATTTCATAGTAAAAGACACTGGGTTTTATATGGAAATATTTGGGGAAAAGAAGAACATGTTGATATTTTGACGTATCTAGTTTTCGACACCGATGCCCCAATAAAAGAGAAAAAAAACAGAGCGGGTTTATTTCTCTTTGGATTTTTATTCCTTTTGTCGACCAGAGGAAAACTGCATTTTCGCCTTTGCATCCAAATGGTAATAATATCATTAGTGTTGCTACTAAGTGTTCCAAGTAAGTCCCTTTGAGTTACATGCCGATCCAAAATTCGCATACTTCGTTTTGGGGGAAAAAAAGAAAAGAAACATTGTGTGAATTTTCCCAAGGGAATCACCTGTTTTATTTTCTTGTATTCTGGTTAAATAAGACAGACCACCCAGGAAAAGAAATGAACGGTTGAAAAAGTGAATGGTCCGAATATGTCACTTGGGAAACCAGTAACAAAGGCAGTCTCGTTTTTTTTTTTTTTTTTTTTTTTTTTTTACTCTTTAATATTAACGGGACAAACGATAATGAGTAAAAAATGTGTAAAGAGAAGGAAATACGATTTAGAAGGGTAAACAATTAGGCAAAAAGAAAAAGAAGAAAAGGACACCAAGAAGAAGAAAAGGACATGAAGAAGAAGAAAAATAAGAAGAAAAGAAGAAAAAAAAAAAAGAAAAGAACAAGGAGAGGAAAAGGACAAGAAGAAGAATAACAAAATGAAGAAAAGAAGAAGAAAAGAACAGCAACAACAAGAAAAAGGACAAGAAGAAAAAAAAAACAAGAAGAAATGAAGAAGAAGAAAAGGACAAGAAGAACAACAAGAAAAAAGAACGAGAAATCTGTTTAAAATAAAAAATAAAGAAGAATCGATAGAATGATGAAAAAAGATGAAGAAGACAAAGAAACTTTTTTAAAAAAAAAAGAAGTTTAAGATAAAAGCGAAAGGAAAAACGTGCAAAGAAAAGAGAGAATGAAGAGAAATAAACAAAGTAAAAAAGACAGAAAGGAAGAAAGAAAGAGAGAATAAATTCCTAAAAGGACAAATAGATGGAAGGAAGCAGAATAAAGAAGGAGTGAGAAAATGAAAGAAAGAAAAAAAGGACAATACGAAAGAAAGAATGAGTTCAAAAAGAAGGAGAATAATGAAAGAATAAGAGAAAAGAAAAAATAAGTCCACCAAATAAGAAGGAGAATAGTGAAAGCCGTATAAAAAAAAAGAATTATTCTATATAACATGGAGGACAAAAAAGATTAAAATAAAATAAATTATGGGCCTAAAACGAAGAAAAAGGAGACTAACGAAAGGACAATGAAAAAAGAAAGTGTCTAAGCAACAACAACAATGAGAAGAATGAAGAAAAAAGAATCAATGTGGCTAACCAAAACGAAAATGAAAGAAAATAAAGAAGAATACAAAAGAAAGGAAAAATCTAAACACGAAAAATAAATGAAGAAGAATAAAAAAGAGAGAATGAGTCAAAAAATGAAAAAAAGGAAGAAGAAAGAATGAGTCTAAACAAACAAAAAGATGAGAATGAAGAAAGTAAATCACAGAAAGAATGAGTCCCCAAAAAAAAACAAGGAGGAGAATTCCAGGCATAGAAATGAAGAGAGAATCATAAAAAAAACGTACAACATCATAAATGTGACATCAAAGAAAGAAATAAAACTAGGAAGAAATAAAAATGGCGGATGTCATAATGACGTTAAAAAGGAGGCCAAATTTAAAGAACAGGCTTAGGAGTGAGTAAAAAATGAGGGCAAGAAAAATAGGAAATGATGTAGAAATATGCTGATAGCTGTGATAAACGAAATATGTCAACAGAGAAGAAAAATAATTAAGAGAAAATGTATATACAAAAAAAAAATGCGTCCGTCCTCTTATGTGATTTAACACGTAAAGAGATCTTAAATGACCCCTAAGAACATATGCATTACAGCTTTATAAATAATGACCTTTCAAAAAGGGTCCACATACTATTTCCTTATTGTACATAAAATAAAGATAAAATATTTGGGGCATTCCTTGCTGTGTGAGAGTATTACCAGTGCGCATCCAGACTTTTTGTTTTGTCGATATTTTCTGATTTGGGCTTAGAACAAACATCAAAGCTTGATAGAGTTCAAAGTCATCTACGCCGTCTTGTGGAGAAGACTTATTCTCCCACCCAACCCCCATTCCTACAGACGCAGCGTTGCAAGCTTGTCGCTACCCTACCGCTATTTCCATGGCAAATGTTCAGAGGAGCTTCATTTTTTACTTACAGCCAGAACACAACATGGTATGTCCAGGAAATCGAATATACACTTCATTTACTCCAACATTTCGGACAAGTACTCTCTGGTCATCTTCAGGTGCTATTTATTTTTACTGATAGGAAATACCTTGTATGAGCTGTTTAGTGTGCTTTGGATAGTGACCTCTGGGTATAAGCTTTGATTAATCAAATGTTGCTTTCATCTATTAGTCGTAAATTCATTCCTTGGATCAGGTGTTGCGACCTGTGTAATCTAGTTGAACAGGAATACAGAAAATTGAACATTACGAAGACAAAATAACACAATAATCAGTATACATAAGATATCTTCTATCATCCCAAATAATAAATATCTGAAGATGACTAGAGGGTACTTGGCTGAAACGTTGTATCTATAATATTTTTGTGATGTCAACGAACACTCGTTGCTACTTTTGTGGTATCAAAGAATACTCATTGTCACTTTCTTAATGCTCGTTGTAGTAGAGACTTTGTAATTGCAGATACAACTAGAGTAACGCCGTTGAACAATACTGGTGCCAGACGCCTTCGAATAGCAATCGCACTAATAGTACTTGCTCGATGATACTTGCTGGAATAATAATCCATATAGTGAAATAGTATAGAGAATAGCGGTCCGTATAGAAGATAGAGTAGAAATGGGGATCCGATTCCCCCACTCCAGGGCGACGCTTGGACATAAGGTAAGCCGTACATTCAGTCACCATCATGAGGAAGAAGGCAGACTACCATTTACATTTTGCTTTGTTTTTTTTTTTTTGTTGCCGGCCTTCTTCGCAAGCTCCAGGGTTATGGCATTACGGGTCGATTATATAACCTAATACAATCATTCCTGTCAAACCGTGAATTGAAGGTCGTTCTCAACGGATTCTCCTCCAGTTCCTATCCCACGAACGCAGGTGTTCCTCAAGGCTCCATCCTAGGTCCCACTCTATTCCTTATCTACATAAATGACCTTCCTGACGCCATAACTTCCCAAGTTGGCATCTACGCGGTTGACACCACAATTTATTCCTGCCTCAAAAACAAATCTAGTCTCGCTGACAAAACTCACCTGGCCGTGCGTCTCGAAAAGGACCTCCAATCGATTGTGAACTGAGGCATAAATTGGCTGGTCAACTTCAACGCTTCTAAGACAAAACTGCTCTCTATTAATCACCACAGAGATCCTTCCCTGTCCCCCATTAGAATGTCTGACGCTCAACTTCTCGAGAGCAACTCTCTGCGGCTTCTCGGTCTCACGTTGACTGCTGACCTGAGATGGAATAAATACATAGAGTCAATTGCCTCGTCCACTGCGAGGAAATTTGGCTCCCTGAGCCGCGCTAGGAAGTTTTTCTCCCCAGAGTCGATCCTCCAGATCTACAAATCCACAATTCGCCCTTGCATGGAGTATTGCTGCCATATATGGTCTGGCGCCCCTTCTGTTTGCCTCGGGGTTCTTGATAGGCTCCAGAGGCGGATATGCAATGTGGTTGGCCCTACCCTGGCGTCTCGTCTACAGTCACTTTCTCACAGACGCGCCGTCCCCTCCCTCTGTCTGTTCTACAAATACTTTCATGGAAATTGCTCCGAGGAGCTGCATTCGCTGGTTCCCAGACGTCATGAGTTCCAGCGCCTTACGAGGCTGGCATCCCGCTCTCACCCCTTCACTGTCGAAACTCCTAAATGTAGCCGTCTACTCTAATAGCTTCATGTCTCGCACCTCTCGCCTGTGGAACTCCCTTCCCTTCTCCTGTTTCCCTGAGAGCTATAATCTCCAGCTATTCAAGTGTAATGTCAATCGACATCTCCAGTTGCCTTGATCTATCCACTACCCTCATCCTTTCTTCTATCACTCCTATCTGATCTTGCTCTAAATTTTCTGTAACCCCTTGCCTCCTAGTGGCTTCCCGCCTTGCTTGGGGTGAAGTGCTTAAAAAAATAGAAATAACGATCCAATAGACTAGAACTAACGATCCAAATAGCAATAGAGGATAGAACAGAAATGAATATCAATCTAGACGTCGCGCGACTTCTTATATATGCGTTTCCTCTATGGTCACGTGATCCACTTAATTCAATAATGGGATCGCCTGCGTTTGCTCACTGGCGATCTATGTTCCAATTCAAGTGTCAGCAGCGTCACTTTAAACCTATATAACAAATGTATATTGCCACCGATGTTAGCAATGAATCGATCAAAACCAGACGTATATAGCATGATATGCTTTGAGCGTTGCAACGTAACGAATACTGACTTTTACAAGGTGATGTGATTGGACAAAAAAAAACATGTATTTATATACACCGTATTATCTAAATTAAAACAGTACAAAGAACAATGAGTGATTACTCCTCTTTGGGACTCATTCGTTGCATAACTCCTTACATGGATCCTTTCACAACTCTTGTTTAATACGTTGTTTTAGGTTAAGCACTTCGGTTGGAACCTAACAGAGATCTTGCCTGAGGTATCTATGTCTTATCCTAGACTGGTTGCCAACAACGGCTAGGAAAGTTCCGTTTTTTCCTTGCTATTTAATCCATAGCTGGGGAAGTAGAAGAGATGGTTTGATACTTTTCTTACGAAAATTTATGTGAAAGTGAATCTAATGAACTCGACTTGAATTTGAACTTGTCTTTCTGATTTCTCATTCCGAACATCCACTCAGGCAGTTTTTATCGAAGAACTTCTATATTGTTGAACCGAATCTCGTGTGGATTCTTCGTTGAACGCTACATTCTTAGCCTCTTCAAATCAAGATCCAACAATTATCTATCCTCCTTATCCTCATAATATCTACTTAGTACCACCTCTTCCGTTCATATCATATCACACCCTTCATTCATCAATACCATTTTAACAGGAACTTTCTACCTTGAGCGGCTCTTGAGCCTTGTTCTTGGCTAATTATAGCGTCATTTCTCTCTCTCTCTCTCTCTATCTCTATCTCTATATCTCTGTTTTCTCTGTCTCAGTCCCCCCCCTCTCTCTCTCTCTCGCTCGCGCTCTCACTCTCTGTATTTCTCTGTATCTGTCTCTCTCTGTGTCTCTCACAGTGGGATGCACTCGTAATTATGTAGCAAGCCTATAGATATTTCCATTACAAATATTCAGACGGGCTACATTCCTTCGTTATACCAATTCAGACCTTTATAATTAAGGCCCTCCATGCCACTTAAAGAGATCCATTTCCTCTCGTTTGTTTTGTATTCCATTTGTAAGGAGGAAATTCCATTCAGACCGCTTATTCCTAAGAATCACTGTTTTGTGGAACAGACGAAAGGGCGCTTTACTGAGCATTACAAACTTAATCTCTTCAAGTCTGGGGTTAACCTTTTTCTATCCTACATATCCTCATAACTCTTTCTCTTGCGTCCATAAAACAACCTCGTTCAGTAACCCGCTAACTTGAGTTGGTCTTCAGCTTGTATTGAGTAAACACTGAGTTTTAAAAAAGTTCCCTGATGAACTACATTCCTGATACTTTCCTAACTCTCAAACAATGGTGTACATCTGAAATTGTACGTCTTTAACAATGCCTTTGTTAAATGTGAATATTTCGAAAAGTTATGATCAAAGAGTTATGATGGTACGATTGGCCGTTTACGATAAAGCTTACTTACGGTCTTCCCCTGGGGTCGGTTGGACATTCTTTTTGTTTTTAGTATCATGATTGCTATCGTGACGACGTTTAATGGTCAACAGATATACCGTACCATCATCACAAGAATATTAACAACTTATTATTATTATTATTATTATTATTCTATTCTTTTATGTGCTGTGTCCCTTCATGGCGTTGGCGATCATGGCTCTCCACAATTCCCTGTCTTTTGTCGCTCTTAATAACTTTTGTCTTTTTGCCATCTCTATCAAACCCTGTTTTACCATCCATCTACTCAAGCTCACTAAATAAGTTGTGACTTACTTTCTCTGCCTCTCTTACCTTCAATCTCTCCTGTGGGTATCTATCTTCATTAACTGTTCCAGAAATTTCAACTGCCTCTTCTTGATGTTAAGCATAAGTGTCCTTTTTTGTTGGCATTATCTTTAGAACTTCGTTGTTGGTCACATGTTTGTCTGTCTATGGTATTCTCATCACCCTTCTGTAGAACGACATTTCTATTGTCTTAAGTCTCTTCTTCATATGCAAAGAGATTTTCCAGCATTTGCTGCCATATAGATCTGATATTACGTAACCGTTCAGTATTCTTTTCTTTGTTTCTAACGAAATTTTCCTGTTTCTTAATACTTTGCTTAGCTTTTGGAAGGCATCTTTTGCTATCCCACTGCGCCTTCAGGTTTCAGTGTCGCACTTTCCGTCCTCTGTTAACA